TATTCCCAACTCTCTCTCATTCCCCACTCTCTTCATTCCCCACTCTCTCTCATTCCCCACTCTCTCTCTCTCCCTCCTCTCGTCCCCCTCCCATCCATTTCTCTTTTCCCCTACGAATTGTAACCTTACCCCGAACTCCGCTCTCCGTGGAGTGGCTTGCCTCTTAGCGAGTCGCTCGTCGTTTATGATTCGTTTCACTTGTAGATTGAATCCAGTCGAGAATTGTACAAAAAGCGTTGCTTTTAGGGCTACACCATCCCCAGACCTTCCATTAAAATAAAACCCAACACATCGTCTACGTATATTAATATAAACTTTTAATCCATCGCGATATCACAGCGATAAAATAGAAACTTTGATCTTCTTTGAGATAATATGCGAACACTTTAATTGACATATACAAAACCCTTGCATATATTAAACGTATAGAAAAGAAAGAATAAATCAAGGCAGGTAGTACTGTCTGCCTCGCGCAATATAAACAGTATGTTCTTGGTTCTTTCGGTAAAGTCACGTAGAAGGGAAGTAATAAACGCAAGCAGCCGTGCTTGCGTTGTGGCCGAAACGTCGTGAGAATTGTTTTATTATGTTTTTTTTTATTATTTTATTACTTCCCTTCTACGTGACTTTACCGAAAGAACCAAGAAGATGAATCCCTGCAGTCACGAAAGCTTTAAATCGAAAAATAAACAGTATGGTCTGCGAAAGGGGCCGATAATACTCACAGATGCTGTAAGTGAATGCTAGTCAGTATCTGTAAACGCGGCGTAAAGAAAACAACAACAAAACCGGAGTAAATAAATACCTGCTTTTACTAAACCGTACAATGTTGATACTAACAAAAAACACCCGCAAAGTACTTCTGCATTGTGAAAATGGAACCACGCGGACGGATGGCTCCACCACAAATAGTCAGACGCGAGGATGTCGCCGGCCAAACGGGAGACGGCGCAAAGCGTCGCACATCCGACCCGACGCCGATGAAGCGCCCACGCGCAACCTCGATCTGACGCCCGCCGGTGCGGCGCTTTGCTCGTCGCTGCTGCGTGTCGACGCGCTGTCGACGCGCATCAGCGATGGTCGCGCACGCGGCAAAGCGCCCCTCGCCTCGAGAGCGTCCGCTCGCCTCGGTAGCACGGCCGCGTGCTCGACGCAATGCATTGTTGTACAGGCGTTCACTTATGTAACCTTTTCACATGCCCACATGTGCCGAATACCTCTAACCCAGTACCTAATAACAGTACCTATACCCGTTATCTATACCCCAGTACCTATACCCCAGTGCCTATACCCCAGTACCTATACCCGTTACCTATACCCCAGTACCTATACCCCAGTACCTTTACCCCAGTACCTATACCCCAGTACCTATACCCCAGTACCTATACCCATTACCTATACCCCAGTACCTATACCCCAGTACCTATACCCCAGTACCTATACCCCAGTACCTATACCCCAGTACCTATACCCATTACCTATACCCCAGTACCTATACCCCAGTACCTATACCCCAGTACCTATACCCCAGTATGTATAGCCAGTATTTGTACCTTCTTCTTCCACGCGCTTGCCTCACTCATGCCGGGTGTTCCGCTGTCCTTGCCAACCTTCTCCACGCTGCCCTGCCCTGCGCCATCTCTCCTTCCGCTCCTCGGGCGACCATGTCCGATCGGAACCACATCGCCCCACCTCTTCTTCTGACTTCCTCTTGATCTCTTTCCTTCCACTTGCATCACTTGCACCTTCTGACCCACATAATTTCCCCGTTGTCGCTCCACATGACCGAACCACGCCCACAGCCTTTCCTCTCTCATCTGCTCTGTGATTTCTACCACCTTGAGTCTTCCTCTCACTAATCCATTTCTCACCCTGTCCTTGTTAAACCCAACATCCACCGCAACATCCTCATCTCTCTTTCTCGGCCCCATACAACAGCACCGCCCCCACCACCGTGGGGCCCTCTTATCGCACACCACACCGGTCATCTCTCACCATGTCAGCTACCCAGCCCTTGCTGTTGTTCTCATCTCTCGCCATGTCAGCTACCCAGCCCTTGTTCTTGTTGTCATCTCTCACCATGTCAGCTACCCAGCCCTTGCTGCTGTTCTCATCTCTCGCCATGTCAGCTACCCAGCCCTTGCTGTTGTTCTCACCTCTCACCATGTCAGCTACCCAGCCCTTGCTGTTCTTCTCATCTCTCGCCATGTCAGCTACCCAGCCCTTGCTGTTGTTCTCACCTCTCACCATGTCAGCTACCCAGCCCTTGCTGTTGTTCTCATCTCTCACCATGTCAGCTACCCAGCCCTTGCTGTTGTTCTCATCTCTCGCCATGTCAGCTACCCAGCCCTTGCTGTTGTTCTCACCTCTCACCATGTCAGCTACCCAGCCCTTGCTGTTGTTCTCATCTCTCACCATGTCAGCTACCCAGCCCTTGTTCTTGTTCTCATCTCTCGCCATGTCAGCTACCCAGCCCTTGCTCTTGTTCTCATCTCTCCTCCTTCTAGTGATCCTTCAGCACCCACATCGTTCTACCCAGCTACTTAAACTCGTTCGTCTTCATTCACTGGTCACTTCCAATTTGCAATACCCCTCCTGCATTATTTCCACTGACATTTGCCACCATGTACTCCGTCTTTGTCCGACTGATCCTCAACCCATTCACTTCAATCTTTTGCACCCAGATCTTAAAATCATCTTTCACTACTCTCCCTCTGAATATCTCTCATTAGTGTGTCCAGCACCAGGATGAACAGGAAAGAGGCTCGGTGCAACCTCGCTTCACTCCCGTTGTGACTTGAAAGGTCTTCGACACCCCACTGCTGCTTCCCACGTGCATTTTCCCTCCTTCATACACACCCTGGATCAGCTGGACATATACCTCCAGGAATACCTCTTCTCATACACCACCAGATGAGCTCTCTAGCCACCCTGTCGTACGCTTTCTCTAGATCACTAAACACCACATGCAAGTCCCGTTTCTTCTCTCTGAACTTCTCCATCAATGCTCTCAGAGCAAAGATTGCATCCATTGTTGACCTTCCCTGTCTGAATCCAAACTGACTCTCGTCAATATCCACCGCTTCCTCAGTCTCCTTTCTATCATCCTTTCCCAGTACCTAAACCCCAGTATCTATACCCAGCATCTATACCCAGCATCTATACCCAGTACTTATACCCAGTATCTATAACTCAGTATCTATAACTCAGTACCTAACCCCCAGTATCTATACCCAGTATCTATATCCAGCATCTATTCCCAGTACCTATACCCAGCATCTATACCCAGCATCTATACCCAGTACCTATACCCAGTGTCTATAACTCAGTATCTATAACTCAGTACCTAAACCCCAGTACCTATACCCAGTACCTATACCCAGTATCTATACCCAGTATCTATACCCAGTACCTAAACCCAGTACCTATACCCAGTATCTATAACTCAGTATCTTAACCCCAGTATCTATACCCAGTACCTATACCCCATTACTTATACCCAGTACCTAAACCCCAGTACCTATACCCAGTACATATACCCCATTGCCTGTACCCAGTACCTATACCCCATTACCTGTAGCCAGTACCTATACCCATTACCTGTACCCAGTACCTGTACCCAGTACCTATACCCAGTACCTATACCCCATTGCCTGTACCCAGTACCTATACCCCATTACCTGTAGCCAGTACCTATACCCATTACCTGTACCCTTTACCTATACCCAGTACCTATACCCAGTACCTATACCCAGTACCTATACCCCATTACCTTTACCCAGTATAAAGGGAGTCGGATATGCGACCTTATACTCCACGGGGGGTTTGTATTTTCATTTCCAGGTAGGCGGAGTGCCCTCAATTAGCCCCCGGCCGTGACAAAACCTCACGTGGACCAATCACAAGGCGGCGACACGACGGAGAACTTCACGTGGTGGCCGAGGGGCGAGTTTGGCACGCGAACAAAAAACAATTGCCGAATCGACGCCTTTTTACTTAAAAACCAAAGTTTCAAGTTGAGATTTTCTTTGCTTAGCCAGCTGGTGAGACAACTCCAGAGACCAGGATGAGCATCATGCCTGCAGTGACCTGGGGCCGTGAGTCTGCGAGTAGGGGGCGATGATCGCCGCCGCCGCCGCCGCCGCTGCTGCTGCTGTGTATTATTATCAAGTTACACGACGCTGGGTTTAAGTGCGTGCCTATACAGGTCACCATACGTCGATGGTGATTAACTGTGAGCAGCCAATAGCACGTATTGCGATTGTTGGACTCAAAGACGGCAGGATGTACATACATCATACACAATGCACATTATGTGTGTGGGTTAAATGTGAATAACCCAACCAATAATAGATATCCGTAGTAATTTATATGAATACATTTAACACCCCCCACCCAGCTCTTCGCACTTGCTTGGCTCACAAGTGACGTCATCACACCCCCTGTCTATTTAAGACCAAAACAGGAGGAGGATTTCTCCACAACTCTGGCTGTCGCCTGATGATGCTGCCCGTTGTTGTCATTACCAGCGAAACGTCACGGCACTCAAATGGTAAATGCTGTAGTGGGTTTACTCTCCAACACACACCGGTGTGCCGAGCTGGTAACTAATTGGCATGTTTTGTTTACATGGCACACCTTACTGATTGGCTGTGTGGGGTGGTGGGGGGTTCACCGACACATTTATATTTACGCGATCGAACCCAAAAAAGAACCTCTCATGGATAATATTGGTCGTGAAAGCCTGCTACTACGTGTTAAACTTTATAATCCCCAATTTAGTAACTTGCGGCGTCACTTGTCGAATTGGGACCCTGGGTAGTAGGTGCAACATACTCGGCCATGATGATTTCTGCCAAACGCACGAATCAGGCCTCACAATTCCTAATGCCGTATCGAGCGATGTGAAGTGAACGCACGGGGAGAGTCGTGTTCTCTGAAACTAGGCCGCTTTATTTCGCAAGCTTCACCTGTTTCAGGGTTACTCGAGTAGTGTGGATTTTTATACACAGGAGGTCGTGGGTTCGATCCCGACCCTGACGCCTGCTGCATAGTTGTAGTTTGCACGTCTCTCTCCCCGTGGTCACGTAGGTTTGTTCTCCCGGTCCTCCGGTTTTTTCTCCACGTTTAGAACCAACATCACGCGTTTAGAGTATTTGGCTGCGATGCATTCCCACGTGATGATGATGATGAGCCATTTCGTTGAGCTCTCGTTTGTGTTGACCAGGTCGCTTCTGAAGAAGAGCTACACAGCTCAGTGGAGCCTGACCTGGTACAATGAAATACAAATTATAAGTTTTTATACACAGTAGCGGTTGCACGGCGGGTACGAGAGACCATCCATGCAAACAACAAGACGTCCAAAACGGGGGTGACTGTGGGTGAGTCTGTGTGCCTGAGGGGGTGACTGTGGGTACGTTTGCCTGAGAGGGTGACTGCGTGCGTGCGTGCGTCCGTGCGTAGGAGTCCAATATTCACAATGTGTGTGTGCCAAGTTGATGTTTTATACAGGATACGTCATAATAATAATGAAGATGATAATGATGAAGATAATGTTCAGCGCTTTGGGATGAATGGCTTCCGCACACCCGAGTCGGTCATAGGGGTCGTTTGTCCGCGTTTCACCACTTCTGGTCAGTGCGGTATTGGCGAGTTGAAGTCGGTCAATTCGCCTTGACCCCGGGCATCAATCTCAGGTTGCTGGATTCATAGCACGGTGTGCCAACCACTGTGCCACCGCTCCACGCCGCCATCCCTCGGCAGGATATGAATGTATTTAAACAAGAGGCATTCAATAAGTTGTGAGAACAGGTCGTGACTTGACGCACGTACATACCCCACGGTTAACTGTGTACAGCATGGTAACGCAATCGCGCACGTCACCGTTGTGTTTGGGACATAAATAGAGGGGGTCTTGTAAATGAAGCTTACAAATACCGTGCTTCTCATTCTCCATATTGTTGACTGCCCCTTGTACAGAGTAAGGGGTGGCAAAGTATTTTTTTTATTTTTGCTATTTACATATTTATTTGATTTTACCATGTAAGGCCCACTCAGCTGTTTATCCCTTTTTCAGAAGCGACCTGGCCACAAATGATAGCTCAACGAAGTGACCTATCAGGTGGGAATTTATAAAAGCCAAATCCTCTGTACTCGTGATGTTCATTCTCAACGTGGAGGGAAAAAACCCGAGGACACGGATCAAAATCCACGTGGCCATTGGTGGAGAGACGCGCAAACTGCAAATATACAGCAGCAGGTGTCAGGGTCGGGATCGAACACACGACCTCCTGCACACCAGGCGATGGAGATAACATCTCGCCACCGTGGCGCCCAAGGCGCTGCCCTGCAATTGCCTGCTCAGACCACTGCTGGTGGAAGGGTCTCTCCGCTAGTGGGAGCTCCAGAGAAACGCCTCTCAAGGGTCCTGCTCCCACGCTACCGCAGCGGCCAGACGATTTGAAAGAGGTGGGGGAGTTACCCACACTGTACCCCACCGCCTACTGCTGGCTGGGGTGGGCGAGGAAGGGATTTAAGAAACTTGTCGTACACAGTATATACCGTCTCCTACATACTGTTAGTTAGCATGCATACAATTACATATAGACACATTGTGTATTTGAAACGGCTGTTGCCATGCAGGAATTTTATACTTTCCAAGATTAAATTCGGCTCGATAAGTTAAGAATGTGAGCGACAAAAAATGTTTGTACAACGATCCCTTCCATATTGCAAACCGCAGCTCACCGATAGCTCAATCACAACGTGCCCACGACGGATCCCGATTGAGCCCCGTGACGATGGTTTTCCCGTTTGTTCTTGAAAAGACAAAAACACTTTTAAGCGTCCAGGAGTGTCTCCCTGCTCGAGCAGACGAGCAAGATGGTGGGGCCCGTCACATCAATTGGTGGCCCTGAGCCAGTGGACTAAATTCAACATTTCCATGCCAGGAGGAGGGGGGGGGGGGGGCATCAGTCTCTCCACGGGACTACCCGTTTGTTGACTTCCCACAAAGCGGTACTCATTTTAATAAGCCTGGAAGGATGATGATGATGATGTTGGGCTTCTGACGACCCCCGACCTCGGTGTTTGACCTCGCGAGTAAGTCGCTCTCCACCCGCCGCAGCGCCGCGCAAGTCCAACCGCGTTTCACAGTCTGACGGACGAAAAAAAATATCGACAGCGGGTGACGCCTCTCCCTCGTACACAGCGGCGACTGGAAAAACGTCGACCGACCGCTTGCAGCCGACCGGCTCGGCGCTCTCCCCCATGGGCGACGTCGCCAACAGCAGCTCGCGACAGAACGGCCGTCTACCATCTGCCGACGGTCGCCAGAGCGAAGCTGTCGCGAGTGTCCCCGGGCACCTGGCGGAAGTGGCGGCGGCGTCGCAAACGCCTCGCCGCAAGTGAACGCCGTTCGCGCTGCCTCACAGCGGGCAATGTGTTCGTCGCAACCGGGTTCCTCGATTGCGCACCGAATATCTGCCGGTGGGTCGCCGGTAGACCGGAGCAGTAGGTGGGTAGCCACGGCCGTAGCAAGAGAGATATATAGATACTGGATGTGGTGTGCCGGGTGGGGAAATATTTTATGGGTCGCTAATCCCCGGACAGATCCGGGCTGAAGTTAAGCCCCCAATGGCCGTTTCAAGTGTTTGGAATGGAGGCCCTCTCCGGAGCAGAGAGAGAGAGGGGCGGGGAGGGGGGCGCCAGCTCATGACTGAACGACTCACAGTTGGAGAAGGCATTTCACAACGTGGTGCCTTCAGAACGCCGGGGGGCAGCCGGAGGTAGCCGACGGCTGGTGTTGGTTGATATCCTGGCCCCTTCAGATGTTGGCTTTTGGCGACACCAAAAAAGGCAAGGCAGTAGCTGCTGCCAGTTTATAGACCAATCAACTTTCTCAGTCGAGTTGCAACAACAACAAAAAACAGTGCCACAAATAATAGCGACGATAATTACAATAATAATAATACAGGCGACGGTAACCTGAGCCTTTCTGTTGTTGCGATAACACCGGGGGCTTCAATTTCTTGCTGAATATCTTCCGGGTCACTAGTAGACTGGAGTAGCAGGTGGCACGTGACTGGTAGCCGATGGATGTGGTGTGCCGGGTGTAGAAATCTTGTCCGAGTCGCTGCTAGCCCGGAGCTGCAGGTGGCACGTGACTGGTAGCCGATGGATGTGGTGTGCCGGGTGTAGAAATCTTGTCCGAGTCGCTGCTAGCCCGGAGCTGCAGGTGGCACGTGACTGGTAGCCGATGGATGTGGTGTACCAGGTGTAGAAATCTTGTCCGAGTCGCTGCTAGCCCGGAGCTGCAGGTGGCACGTGACTGGTAGCCAATGGATGTGGTGTACCGGGTGTAGAAATCTTGTCCGAGTCGCTGCTAGCCCGGAGCTGCAGGTGGCACGTGACTGGTAGCCAATGGATGTGGTGTACCGGGTGTAGAAATCTTGTCCGAGTCGCTGCTAGCCCGGAGCTGCAGGTGGCACGTGACTGGTAGCCGATGGATGTGGTGTACCGGGTGTAGAAATCTTGTCCGAGTCGCTGCTAGCCCGGAGCTGCAGGTGGCACGCGACGAGTAGCAGCCAGTCCGCAGCTGAAGCCACGCGCCGGGCTCGTGGCTGACGCCGAGTGGGGGTTTGCGTGCGGGCCGGCTGCATTATTGACGTCCGGCCCGTCGAGAGAGAAGGCGTTGGGGTTCTGGCGACGTGGAGACGCCGGGGCGGGAGGGCGCTGGGGCCACGGCGTCGCTCGGCCAAACCGGGGCGGCCGTAGGGGCCGTGGGGCCGTGGGGGCCGTGGGAGCCGTGGGGGCCGTGCCGGCTACTTGCAGACGAATCGGTCGACGATCTCTGTGCACATCCTGCACTTGACGTAGCAGCACCAGTGGAACTTGCAGTGGCATCGCTCTACCACCGTGGCTGGGGAGGAGGGGAATGCAGCGGGCGTGAGGCGAAACGTCAGACATCGTGCCGGGCGAACGTGTGGTACCGACCCCCGAACGCACGCCGGAGAGATAATTTGTTGTTGTTGTTGTCATTATATGTCCCCAATTTTTATCCCAATTCATGCGATCACCGTTACGTCACCAGATGAAGAATCCGTATGGGAGCGAGATAAGTTTAAGCTTCTGCAGCTAGCCGAGTGGCTTGGCTGAATCGTAGTGGCTGTGTCAGGGTCAATGAGCCGGCACCTTTTGGATCATGGGCTCGAAGTCGAGTTTCAGCCGCACCATATTTGAACAAAAAATTAACTTTCCCTTATTCCAGAAATTTGCTTACACTCAAATGCGACAGAGACAGCGAAGGGAAAATGCAAGGATTTTGTCACCTTTGTAGTGGTCGTATCCTCTGCCACAGCACATGAGCTCGCAACCGTCGGTGCCCTCGGACGTGCGGTTGCACTGGCGCGCCACCGTGCCGGCGATGCCGCGCGTCTCGTCGTACGTGCAGTAGTCGGGGCTCGCGTCCAAGTAGACGAGGTCGTCCTGCGTGGGCGGCGTGAAGCGCCCGTTCACGGGCTCCAGCTGCGGAGACGACCGCCCGCCGCCGCCGCCGCCACCGGCGCCACCAGCGGCACCAGCGCCACCGCTCCCTTTGCGGCTCACCAGCCTCATGGCAGCACCTCCGTCGTACTTTTCCTGCAGGCGCCACCACGGTCGTCGTCGTTATCGTCGTCATCATCATCGTCGTCATAGCGCGTGACAGGTGAGGAGGAGCCGAGTGGTTATTGAGTTCATCTGGGGCCCCCCGAGCTGCTTGGGACCCTGGCGTGTGTTTGCTCGGTTTGCTTGGGCCTAGCGCCACCACTAGGCTATGGTTGCAGGGGCCCTCCCGGCGAATGCGTCCCGGTGGCGATCGGCTCCATCACAGACATGACAGTGGCCCATTGTTTTCTATTGGAAGTTGCGTGCCCAGTGTGTAGAGCGAGGCCTACTGCAGGCTGTGCACCAGCGGTGTTCAGCGACGTCATCTCCCTGGGATTATTCCTTTGACACAGGTTGATGCACTGCTAGCTGCAGCGTTCAGAATCAGAATCAGAAACGGTTTTAATCGCCATGTAAGTTTGCACAAACAAGGAATTCACTATGGCGGGACGGTGCATACATTGAACAAGTAGGAATCTTAACTTATATAAAAGGTATACACTCTAACTATACTAACGTTACAAAGTATAAGTAATACCAAAGGGCTAAAATCTTTAAAATTATGAATAAGTAGACCTTATAAAATGCGAATGTAAAATGTTAATTAGCCGTATTAAACAATCTTAAAATACAAAAATACAAATAAGATTACACGTTGTAAGTATGGAAAGGTGTAATTATGTAGATAAAATGTTATAGTAAGTGTAACAGTCATTTTAAGTGTAAAAGTCATTTTAAGCCCTTGGCCTTGTTGAGGAGGCCAACAGCAGATGGGAAAAAACTGTTTTTATGACGTGAGGTTTTGGTCTTGATGGACCGCAGCCTTCTGCCGGAGGGGAGTAGCTGGAACAGAGAGTATCCAGGGTGCGAGGAATCGTCCGCAATCTTCCTCGCTCGCTTCAGGGTCCTCAAAGTGTGCAGGTCCTCAAGGGTTGGTAGATTACAGCCAATCACCTTCTCAGCAGTGCGGATGATACGCTGCAGTCTGCTCTTGTCTTTGGCAGTTGCAGCAGCGTACCAGACGGTGATGGAGGAGGTGAGGATGGACTGAATGATAGCTGTATAGAAGCACACCATCATTGTCTTTGGTTCCGAATGGCAATTTCTCACAACCAAGGCAAGATGCCTCGTAAAATTCTGGTGATAAGTGTCACGTGCAGCTGATGTATCATCATTGCTCATGATGTCTCGTTCGTTAGCTACATCCAAAATGCATTCATTAAAGAATTAAAGTGCAGTTCACAAGGGGCATTAATAACTTTCATCCGGGTAATGAGTAGCACGGCATCTCTATAGATTCGTGAATTGCTCACTATCTCTATAGATTTGTATCTGTCCTATAGATAATTATCCAAGTGTAGTGTAATAGCGCCGGCTGGTGGACAGCAGCGGCAACTGTGGTGGACAGACAGCGCACACGCCGGTGAGGGCGTGCACGGGGTGTGGGCAGGGCGGAGGAACTGGGGCAAGGGTCACGGAGGATCACATTCGGAGGCCCCTGGAACCTGCTAGCGAGTTCGAGAAGGGAGGCGCGGTCAGGGCGGAGCCAGGCCGCGCTGGGGAGCATAAAAGGAGCCGAAAGCAGGGGGGGGGGGGCTCGTGGCTGCCGGTTCTAGGAGTGGACTCGTCTCGTTGTCGCTCTCATCTCGTCGCCGTCGTCGCTGCCATCTTCGCTAGATGTTGCGCTCGAAGGAGAGTAGTTGGCTATCTCAGTCAGTGCCGTCAGTGTTTGACGGCTAGGGTTGTGTACAGGCGAGGTTGAGCTACAGTGGAGAGTGTGTGGACGAGACAGTGAAGTTGTTAATGAAGAAAGTCCCTCCTAGAAACTTTGTCTCTGAATCGTTGACACTACACAAGCAAAAATAAACTGTGGAAAATTTGCACGATATTGGGAAAAAATATCTTGTCAGACGAAGGAAGCGCATGAGGAAACTCATGGCTGTGAACCGAACCGACGGTGGATTGCTCCATCCTCGCCACCCACGACCAATCGCCCATTGTGCACCCGGCAATGTGGCCACTGGTCCAACTGCAGTCCCAAACCCAGAGAGGATGGGTCTCAGTCAGCTCGGGTTTGATTCTATTATTATAAACACACGTCCACACGGTCCGCGTAAAATCGCATGAAGTGACGAGGTTGGCGCGACAGACACCGTGGCGCATGGAATGAACCGAGGCCCCGTGGCCTCACTTCGCCTCTCACCCTCTGCAGTGTCACCGCCTGCACGCTCCACCCCCTCTGGGCAGCTGCGCTCACCTTGAGGCGGTCCCGACTCGACGGAAGTCGGCGAGCTGCAGCCAGCAGGTCTTGAGCGAGCAGGAGCCCGACACGCCGTGGCACTTGCACGCGACGTCCGCTAGGCTGTACACCGCCTGCAGTGCCACGCCGTGATCACCACAGCCGTCACCACCAACATCATCATCACCACCACCACCATCATCATTACCATCATCACCACCAACATCATCACCACCACCACCAAGATCATTATCACCACCACCGCCATCATCACCACTATCAGCACCAACATCACCATAATTACCACGAACACCACCATCACCACCACCATTGCTATCCCCAACACCATTATCACTACCACTACCAACATCACCACCATCATCACCATCACCACCCCCATCATCACTACCGCCATCATCACCACCACCATCATCATCACCACCACCATCATCACCACCTTAATTACCACCATCACCACCACCAACAGCATCATCACCATCCCCACCACAATTACCACCACCATCTTCACCACCACAATTACCACCACCATCTTCACCACCATAATTATCACCACCATCTTCACCACCATAATTACCACCATCATCACTACCATCACCACCGCCAGCCCCGTTTTTCGCAGTCCTGATCCAGTGGTGGAAATTCCGCATTCCCCGTTGAGTTGTTAAGAATTGTCGCCTCTACTGGCAGCAAATGTGAGCTCGTTTACATGCAACACGGGCTAAACAAATGTGTGCATATGAGTCGATACATTCGATGCATCGTTAAACCCCCACCTAAAAGAGCCGGGGATCTGCGTGTCGGCAGCGAGCCGTGCCGCGGTTTGCGTGGCAGGGCGGGGGGGGGGCATTGTCCCATTGCACCTCCCCAGCCCCACAACTCGTCACAGCCCTCGCGACCCCCCAGTCAACGTGGCACATTGGGCTAACGCTGAGCTAACGACGTTGGGCCGACGTTTCTAACCACGTGCCAGCGTTGGCCCAACGTTTGCATGTTACTGGGGTTTGGGAGCCGCGGAGCAGTTGCACCGCCTGCGCACCTCAACAGCCACGTCACTCATAATCCTGCCACTCACCCACCCACTCACCCACCCACACACTCACCTACCTACACACTCACCCCCACCCACTCACTCACCTACCTACACCCACCCATTCAGCCACTCATTCATCCAGCCACCAACCCATTCAACCACCCACCCATTCAACCACACACTCACCTACCTACACACTCACCCACCCACTCACCCACCCACACGCTCACCCACCCACACACTCACCCACTCACCCACTCACACACTCACCCACCCACACTCACCCACCCACCTACACACTCACCCACTCACCCACTCGCCCACCCACCCACTCACCCACCCACACACTCACCCACCCACACACTCACCCACCTACTCACCCACCCACTCACCCACCCACGCACCCATTCACTCACCCACCCACACACTCACCCACTCACCCACCTACTCACCCGCCGGCCGGCTTCGTTGTTGTGCAGATTCATGACGGCGCGCGCGTACTCTGGAGACGATCGTCCGCCACCACCGCCGCCACCGGCTCCTCCTCCACCTCCTCCCCGCTCGCGTTCGCGCGCGTCCACGAACTCCCTGGCGAAGCGGTAGCCGTACTCGGCGTTGTCGCCGCAGCCGCCCCACAGCCAGTCGCGGGGCAGCGCCGCGGGTCGCGCCGCGCGGCTGCAGCCGCACGTGGCCAGGTCGCCCTCGCGGCACGCGCGCGACACCGCGTGCGCAACGCCCGCCGACGACACCGCGAACGCGAAGGCGGCCTCGCGCGAACCTGCACCGCCACCACATCAACAACAACAACAACAGCCGGTGACGGCGCCAAGGCGCCTGTGCCAGGCTAGGTGCACTTTGAGGATGTCGGCGTGGAAGTGCGGAAGGCTCTCGCTGCCGGCAGGTCACAGGACAGACCCAGCGGGTGCCACGGGTTGACGGAGATGACTGGCAGATGCACCACCTGTGCTCCCTACTGTGCCAACTTGCTGCGTCCAATACCACCACCACCACCAAAGAACACCCCTACAGACGTTAACAGACCGGTGGGGGCCCAAGTGGGCATGGTGGGTGACCAGCACCACGCCTGGTAGCCTTTGTCTCCACAGCTGATGTTTTACACACCAGGTACTCATTTGAGGCTGAGTCGACCTAGGGGAGGCCCGGAACCGGTTGAGATGATCGTCACCGGTGATGGCTGTGAGCGAAAATCGAAGTCGTGCCGCTGGGTTCGTAGCAAAGTCCGCTCACTACCACTACACTACCACTACACTACCACTATACTACCACTAACTACCACTAACTACCACTATACTACCGCTAACTACCGCTAACTACCACTACACTGCCGCTAACTACCACTACACTACCGCTAACTACCGCTAACTACCACTACACTATCGCTAACTACCACTACACTACCGCTAACTACCACTACACTACCACTACACTACCACTAACTACCACTACACTACCACTACACTACCACTAACTACCACTAACTACCACTACACACTACCACTAACTACCACTACACACTACCACTAACTACCACTACACTACCACTACACTACCACTACCACTACACTACCGCTAACTACCACTACACTACCACTACACTACCGCTAACTACCACTACACTACCGCTAACTACCACTACACTACCACTACACTACCACTACACTACCGCTAACTACCACTAATTACCACTAACTACCACTACACTACCGCTAACTACCGCTAACTACCACTACACTACCACTACACTACCGCTAACTACCACTGCACTACCACTACACTACACTATCACTACACTACCGCTAACTACCGCTAACTACCATTAACTACCACTAACTACCACTAACTACCGCCCTACGCACGCACGTGCCAAGCACACATCACGAAGCGAGCCTCTTACACACCAAAAAAAAGAGAGAGTTGTAATTGTTTATCGAAGTCAGGTAACCCAAGAGGTTAACACAAATGCAGATTATCCGATACATGCCCTCGCAAACGGCGTGCCTTGGAAATTGTTACCATGTCGCGCAGCACGTGGGAATGGTTTGGCGAGGGCGGGCAGGGAGGGGGTGATCGCTGGCTCCTGCTTCCGAAAGAGGTCCTGCATGTCCCCAGCCAGTGCCGGATTATCCCAGGAGCAAAAGTAGCTGCATATGTAGCTACGGGCCCCGCACTTTCAGGCTATTAATTCCGGTTCAGTGATTCTGCACTTGCTCTATTACTATAGCACTATACTGCCTTCGACTTTCATGAACGACTGGGTGTTTAAGGTTAGCAATTTGTATTATTATCTGGCTCAATAGCAAATGAAAAAAAAAACACAATTACTTTACTATGCAAGTAAAAAAAATTTGTGTTTGAATATTTAAGTGCTTTCTTTTTTTAGGGCCCCTCTTTAACATCTGCTGCAGGTACGTTGTGTTTACGTGACAGGCCTTACTAATTGGCCGTTTTCGGGTGGTGGCAGGTTTAACGACACACTCATATTGACGCCATCTAACCCCCCCGCCCCCCGAAAAAAGACCCCCTCCATTACGGTTCCTTAGACCTCCGCTGCGAAAATTTCCCGCAGAGGGGGAAACGGCGGTGATCATGGGACGCAGGACTACAGAAGTTTCATACCGGGACATCCAAATTGTCATTGTACCCATTGGGTATATGCATGTGATGTGTGTGTGTGTTCTGTAATTCCCGCTCGCGGCCAACACCGGTGACGATTATCTGAACCGGTCATCGGTCTCCCCTCGGTCGATCTAACCTTCAATGGGTACCTGGTGCGATTGTAAACA